AGAACCAGGCATGTGAGGTGGAAGAAAAAGTTGGGGGTTTTTTTTTCCCCTTTCTCCACTTCACACACACACACACACACACACACCCCTTTTGTTTTAGGTTTTTCATAAGCTACTTAGTTTCAGTGAGGTGATTTTTTAGCCACTTTCTTTTCTATGTTAAAACCTGAGGCAAAGTGAAGAAAGAACCTTCTGCTGTAATTAATCACAAAGGTTTTTTTTCTTTGTGACTGATGATCAAAGAATCTGAAAAACAGACATGTCTCCTCCTTGATGTGTGTACACCCGGAAAGCATGTCTTGATAGAAAGAAAGGTCAGGGAAATGAGAAAAGCCTCTTCTGGCTTTTGCTGTTTAATAACATTAGAATTAGACTCTCCCTATTTAATTAGCATTTCTTGAAATAACATCACTGTTTGATTCTAATTACTAGTTCTCATAGTCAATTGATACAGTAAAGTCAACCACTAGTTCCAATGTTATGTGGATGGTTGAATTGTTAATTATTGGTTATAAATTTTGTTTTAATGTACTCCCTAAAAATAGGTTGAATCCTGAAAGGTTTAATTCCCACAGTCTCAATTTCAGGTAGCTGACATTTATACTGAGACATATATGACTGTCTTAAATATGTAGTTTTTCAATCTTTATTCCTTGTCTTAGTGATGCATATTGTTTACTGGAACTCTGCAAAGCAGCAAAGGTTCAGTTCTGTGTGGTCTTCTGTATTGTGGTTTTTTTTTGTTTCCTTATGTTTTATGATTTTTGTTGTTTATTCTGCTTTTTTCTGTTTCTGATTGCTATTTTGTTAAAGGGACTTTTGTTTTTTTTTCTTTAGATTCTTTGGTTAAAACACCTTTTTCTTCTAATGTAATTGTTTAGGGTAAGTGATGAAAAAGATGCTCGAGGTTATCTTCAAGCCTTGGCCTCTAAAATGACAGAAGAACTAGAGGCCCTGAGGAACTCCAGTTTGGGTGCAAGAGCTACAGTAAGATTCTACTTCCACATGTCAGATTTGTTTGTTCGTTTGAAAAAACACTAATTTGATATTTTCAGCTGCAGTAATAACCTGTCTGTAGAGCCTGTGTTAGTCAAAAGTTAAACTTTCCTAGAGATTCCCTTCTGAATAACTGAATAGCAAATTTATTGTTTAGCAATTAATTAAACACCAATATCTTTATAATGTGATTTTATCTATTACATTGTTCAAGTAGCTATTTTATGATCATACATGAATTTGTTGAAGGAAATCTATACTTTGGGTCATGAAAGCCTTGAAATCTTTCACTTTTGAAATGTGAAAGTCCTTCGTAGCTGTCACTTGAATTGAGGCACATCAAAACTTGAATTCACAAAATCTCTTTGCTTTTGAGATCATGACAGCATAAGGCATTCATCTTGCCTATTTAGTACTTGAGTTTAAAAATAATAATATTAATAACAATACTCTCATTTTTTTAATTTTAGATTACTTTGGAATTAATGAACTCATGTTAAGAACATAATAGACCGAGAAACGTAATTGTAGAAGTTAGTTACATTCCTCATTTTCTGCCTTCTTTCCTCTTACTCTTTCTTCTCCCTTTTTTATTCTTTGCTAGGACATGCCCTGGAAGATGCGCCGCTTTGCAAAACTGGATATGTCTGCAAGGTTGGAACTACAGTCTGCTCTTGATGCTGAAATCCGAGCCAAACAGGCTATTCAAGATGAGTTGAATAAAGTCAAAGCTTCCTGTATCTCTACAGAGTGGTAAGACTGAATTGTTCTGATGGAAATTTACTTTGACACCTCCCAGGGAGTGTCATCAAGTCATGATTTTAACTATCTTGTCTGTCAAAATCTGATAATGAATCGTATGCCAGTTTCTTATATCCAAATGTGAAAAAAAGACCTCTCCTCATTGTGTAAGCAGCTGAACACTTACTGGGAAAATTTGAAATCTTGAAGACTTTCAGAGGGGACACTTCCTCTTTAATAATGGAATCTCTCCTAGTTGTGATAACAAGTTCAAATGCAAGCAGAGTTTGGGTTTGTGTCTTAGAACATACTCTTTTCCGTTCTACTGATAGTTGCATTGGGTTAGCTGCCGAAAACCTATCATTGCACACTGATTTGCACAGTAATAAGATGTGCTTATGGAAGATTATGAATTCTTTTATTCCTTCCTCAGACCTCTCTCCCCATCCCCCCCGTCCCACAAATTACAAAATTTATTCTGAGTTGGGTGAATGTCTGAAGCAGGGGATTAGTAGGAAGACAGTCTATTTCTAGGTCTCCAGCTTCAGTCTAGCTCAGAGCACTGACTTGTTTTGCAGCTTTAGGAAAGCAGTTGGACAGAGCTGAGGTTCAAGTATGTTATCTGTAAAGTGGGAATACCTTGTCCACCTGACTTGGGTGTTTTTCAGGCCAGGTAACATGATGATAGGCAGCATTGTAGATCCTCTAAGAACAGGAGAACCAGTGTTTGCTTTGATAGGCAAGGACGAGAAGTGTGGTAGAAATGCATAGTAGTGTTAACTATCAGCTGTGAGTCGGAAAGCACTGAAACAACTAACTATAAAGTAACTGAGAAGAAAAATAGTTCAACGTAATCTGTTAGTATCACAGGCACTGTGAATTAACAAGTAAAAAAACACCCCAATTTTAAAGCATAAAAATACATGTGGTCTTTTTTTCTCATTCACGGGATAAAAACTCACACAATTACTCATAAATTAGAAACACATAATCTGTTAGTATCACAGGCGCTGTGAATTAACAAGTAAAAAAAACCCCCAATTTTAAAGCATAAAAATACATGTCTTTTTTTCTCATTCACGGGATAAAAGCTCACACAATTACTCATAAATTAGAAACACGAGCCTATTTAACGGGTAAACAGGGGCAACTAATTGCATGTTCTGGCTTTTTTTTTAAGATACCATACTAAACAGGTCCCAATAGATTTCTGAATTCATACTGGCATTTGATGACATCATGAAGCTTGCTGGGCATTAAGTTTTAAATAGCATGCAAAGATGGACAAAAAAATGTGACTTGTATCATGGGTTCTCAATATTTACATAGGTTTTTTTGTTTGTATTCTTTTGAAGTAAATTGCAAGAATCTGAGAAGAAGAACATGGAACTGTTGACAGATATTGAAAGGCTGAAAAAGGAGACAGAAGAGCTTAGATCAGAAAAGGGTATGGCAACTGATATCCAAGTAAATAACATGTTTCACATTGGTGGGTACATCTTATCAATTAAGTGTCACCTTGCAACTAAAATCTGATACCAACAGACTTCGGCATACAAAATGTGAGCACAACAATTGCATGTTAAGATGTACCCACAGCAGCTGCATTTGCACTTCTAATATTTACTTGTAATACGCCTCAGTTTTGTTGATATACTTGAACCAGTAAGGTATTATTTGAGTTGGAACTGCATTATTTTTATTTGGCATATGTATGGTGATTTACTGCCAGAAAACTGTTAGACATATAGATATATTTGTAATTTTTTCGCCTTTGTGATGGGTGAAGGTATTTAGACTTCAATACTGATCATAGTGTTCTTAATCTATGAATGTTTTGGCCCTGTCTACACAGAGAGTAAACAACTGCAGAGGCATTCATAGCATTCATTTGTTTCTGGGATGACTTCGTTGACTGACTTTGTAACCATGTAGTGAGCAGTGTGGTCACGTTTGCTTTGCTGTGATATTAAGCGTATGTTCTGGGATTTCTGGTGCATCTGTCTAACAGTATTTCACATTGTTGCTGGGAGAAGAGATTTTTAGGTAATTCTGAAATGAAAAAAATTTTCATTGAGATATGATTAATGATTTGGCTGATTCTTTGCAGTTCCCGTAATAGCTCTAATATTTGTATCTTATGAGTCACGTGGGAAGAAGTGATTTTTCAGACCAAGTGGAATTACCAGATTTTCTGTAGGGAACTGTTTGAACCCCAGAGTTTCAAAACCCTGGCAACAATTGCTGCATAGGATGTCAAATATTGTTTAGCCTTTGCAACCTAACAGCATGTCAATCAATAATGTATTGTAGTTAACATTCATCTCCTATATATAGGCCTCCAAGTGCTGGTTGACTGGTAAAAATAATACAAACCTGTACGGAACATTAAAAAACGACTGGTGCTGACTAGCAAATAAGGCTTAGGGAATTGATACTTGTTCATCTTGATGCTTAGCACTGATACCAGGATTCTGCTTCTTCCAAGTGCTTGGAGAGGAACTCTTGATAGCATATTCCTGGAGACAATAATGCTTTGTCATGTTTAGCTTTCACTTATAGATTCTTGAGCTGTCTTAAATATTATGCATGGTTACTTGGCTTCTGAAATCTTCCTTTGCATTAAACAATTTGTTAAGAATTTATAATTAATATTTTACCCTGTATTTTTTCCAGTTTTTAAAACTTTATTGTTTTTGTGAAAATAGGGATTCGAGGAAAAGTTAGTTGTTATGCTTTTTGCCAGAAGTAAATTAATAAGATTCTACTGCAACTATTCAAATATTTTGATAGAAATACACCTTAATCCAAAATCCTTATTATCTTTGGACTTGGTTTTCTCTTATAAGAAGAAATATATTGATGCTTGAATCATGAACTGTATAGAGGATTCAAATGTAGTCAATGTACAGTGGTAGAGTAACTTCCTGTGTGTGGAAATTGATTTCTAGGAAGGAATTACTTAGATTAGCACTTGAATTCTTTGCTCTTTATAAACGTGTTCCAGAAACTGAGGAGGGTGGGGAAAAAGATTACTAAAAATGATTCTGTAAAGTAGCAGGTAATTTGAGAATTGTTTTTAGTCTTACTGGGGTTTCAGTATATTTATATTTTGAAGAGGAAAGGGTTCTTTAACTTCTTTGTTCGTTGTGGGTTATATTTAGAGCAAACAGGGTGATATGGCCAGTTAGAGCAAGACACTGACATTTTTTAAAAGAAGTAAGTGACTTCTAATAGCATCAGTCTTTTGAGATGCACACAGTCCTGCAGGCTCTGGTCATAATAAGTGTATATGTATATAATGTATTTATAGTGTTCAGGAAGCTAGAGTTTGTACACACCTGTGATTTATAAACACCCACACAGCAACTTGAATTATTCCCCAAAGAAAAGAAGAAGAAAAAAATAATGTGTCAGTTGAAGCGAGTTAAAATAACAGTCAAGATGTGCCAGCCTCTGCGGCTCCGAAGGATGGCTGAAAACCATGTAAATGGTGTAGCGTGACAGAGACATTTGAAGCTTTACCCAGGATTGTATTACTCGTGGACGTTCAAAAGTGAGAGGTGGCAGACAGGCATAGAGCATGGGTCAAGGAACTCGTATTGTTTGGAAATGCAGCGTGTTCCTCAGACAGCCTGTTCTGTATGTTTTTGTGGAACCTCACCGTTTGCTAAGGCTGTCTTGTCACGATAGTCTACCCAGCGGGTGGCTAGAGCAGGGATGGCACCTGCTGCGTTAGCGTGCATGCCTGTATGTCATGCAGTGCTTGTTGCAAACAGACACGTTAGAAACTTGCGCCTTCTGCATAATAGACACGTACATAGAGTGTGTTTTCATGTTGAATTCACACCACACACATCCTAGCTTGGAAAAGGTTAATTAAATGTATGCTGCTTGCTTAGTGGGTATATGTCTATTAAAAAAATCTTTTACTCTGGAAAACAGGCCAAATGTGACAACTAATTTCAAAAAATGTAGGTGGTTCAGGTGGATACTCAAACCCTGATTCAGCAAGGCAAAGGTCCTCCATGAAAAGGTCATTTTTCTGTAGCTTAAAAACCTGCTGCTGTTTTCTAGGTGTAAAGCACCAAGACTCACAGAATTCTTTCTTGGCATTTTTGAATGCGCCTACCTCTGCTCTGGATCAATTTGAAGTAAGTGTACAGCTTTTCTAACTCTCTGTTAGTCAGTGCGACTACTGCTGTTATGTGCAGGTTATATGCATATTTGCTGAGAGTTTGCTACTGTATTTTAATCATATTGCCCCGTTTATATTTGTGTATAATAATATGTGATAATTGTTTGTCATTTATGGTGCTGGCTCTCTTCTCTTGAACACTAGTAATCATACTGAATTCTCTCTCAAACCTTGAATGCAGAAATTTTCCTGATTTTGTAGTGAACATGAAAAGCGTAGTTGTTCAAATGGCCTGTCATTGTATTCAGAAAAATGCTAAGTAATGCGGATACTGGTTTGGTAAAAATGAGAGAAAATACATAAATAATCCTTGAATGTATTCCATGAAGTCATTGGTACTGTATAGTTATTAGGTTGTTTTCATCTTCTGCTCATTTTACACAGATCTGTAAAATCCAAATAATTACTATTTATCTCCTCTCCACAGATCCTATATACTGAAAAAATAAATCTGTTTAATTCCTTTGTCACTTTTAGACAAAAGACCGGTTTAGGTAGAAAACCTGGAAGAAAAAAATTGAAATTATACTATACATTTCATATCTTCTTTTTTGAATCAACAGTAAGCAATGCATCATTTTTCTTTTAGAAGAACAGCTGGGGTGAAATATTGGTCAGACTGAATTCAGAGGGGACAAGGCACCACTTTTATAGTTACACGTTGGTCTCAAATTTGCCCGTTTGTGGGTTTTTTTTTTTTTCTGATGGGTGTACGAGGTCATCACATTTAGCTATGAAAGAGCATAATCCCTGATGTTATTGATGTTCCAAAATTTACTTTCTTTTCATTGTGTATTCATTAATTCATTGTTCTCTCTTGAAGTCCTCACAATTAATACCATTTTTAAATTTGCTTTTTAATTATTTATCTTACAAGTTGCTTTCAATATAAAAATCCTGTTGGAGTGTAGGAATATTATTTTATTGAGTGAATGCTGGAAAAACATTGGGTTTTATACAGGTAGTTTATTGATTAATTGTGAAAGGCAATTAATGAAAACTTACTGAAGTAACTGTTACTGGCACTACTTATTTACAGTTCTTTGTTTTTGCACTTTTATTTATACTGAACAGTTTTCTTCATCCATCTCTCTCTCTCTCTCTTTTTTTTTTTACTGCTGTTTTCATTAAAATAGGATTCCTTTTCCTCCTCTTCATCCTCATTGATTGATTTTATGGATGACGTAAGTCTTTGACTTTCAAACCAGTAAATCCCTCAATAACAGAGATCATTTGATTTGGAATATTCAAACATCAGTGCAGTCAACTTAAAATCTGCAAGTGCAGTGGAGAACAGAATATTTCTATAATAGCATACTTACACCTATTTATATAGATAGATGTTCATTTCTAAAGTAAATGTCTGTCTTTAGGTGCAGGTGAAGAATTCTTAATTGCAAACAGTTTTTCTAATGGGGAGAAGGTGCTTTGGGGCCTTATCTACTGATATGGCCTGTGGAAAATGGTTTCAAAATTACTGGCACATTTATTTCATTTAGTTCTATTGCTTCATATTATTACTTTATCATTAGTTGTTTCCAAAAGTTTTCTGATCGCTTCAGTGAAAATGTTTTCCTTGCATACAGTTAATTTCTGTTTGCTCACATAAAATGTTGTCTCTTTTTTAGCCTGTATTATAAGAAGTAATTTTCATTATGACTGAATTGAACTGACTACTTTTTATTGCCATTTGAGATGCTAGTTTTCTGTCAGGGCAGTGTTTAAATATTTACCCTAGTTAATTGCGTACTAAGGGAACTGAGTTAAAAGCTGAAAATTGACTGCATTATATTTCTTCCAGACTGAAGTAGTAGGCACATAAAAGTAAATAATAATAATCTTTTTGAAATCAAATTACATACGCTATGCATCCATGGTAGAGAACCATCCATTACAACTCTGTAGGTATATTGTGTGTGTACATCTGTGTCTGCTTGTATATATGTGTATACACATACACACATATTTATACATATGTATTTAAAATAGTACAATCCTATTTGCATTAAAATGTGATAGAATTAATTTTATTCTAGAAATGTCTGATGTGAAGGGTGTAACAAAGAGGATATAGTATATGGGCCTATTCTACCGATTGCATTTCCTTTCACAAACTCTGAAAGAATGCTTTTCTTCTAGATGCTTTTTTTCTGTAAATCAGGCATATACCTTAGACAAAATGTGAAGGTACATCTGTGGTACCGCAGTAGAAGGTATTTGCCTGCATTTTTTATAGCATATAGAAAACTTTGTCTTGCTGATATCGTTGGAATTTTCTTACACGAAAAAAACGAGAATACAGTTTTCTGTCATGTTAAATCTACAATAAATGAATAATATTTATATCCTTTATCTGGATTAAAGAAGTGTTCTCTATCTTGCCTGAGTATTAGGAACACTTAGTTTGTATCAGCAGGTTCTTTCATAGAACATTACCTTTAAAAATATCTAATACTCTCTCCTAAAACCTGTTAAAAGAGAAATAAAGTACATATGTGGCAGCGTAGCTGATAATATCCTGTTTTGCAAGGGGAAACTTAAGACAAGAAAGTTTTCATGGTTGCTATCTAGTTAGTTTTGAAGGACATCGGTACTTTATTCTGTATTTATTGTTGGTTGTTTTTTCTTTTTAAAGAAGGCAGCATATTTTTTTCACAAGCATTTTGACAAAATCACATTTTTTTAATCTATGCAAGTGAATAGTTTTCAGCTGTTGGTGTACATCCTTTAAGACATTCTTCTTGATTGGTCTACCCAGATCAAATCTTTTCAGATACCCATCTTTTAGTCTTAGGTAAAACTCCAGGTATTAATGTGTATATTGTTGCATGTGGATGACTTACTACACGCAGAATCAAACTTCCCCTGTTACATCTTCAATATGAGTGGAACGGGAGCGTTTTTTTTTCTCAGTTGCATTGGGCAAGAGTACATTTCTGGACTGGACTGGCCAGGGGCTAACGTGTCTAACACCGGGGCAGAGTTCTTTCTCATCTGGCAAAACTGCAGAAGAAGAGAGTTAACTGTTCAAAGATGGGAAGTGTATCTTGCAGACAAATACAAGACTTGTTGAGCTACCTGTCTTTATTAGAAAGAGAAATAAAGCTGATGTCCACGTTAGTAGGTGAAAGGTGGTATAATTAAGTTGTGCTTAAAGTCAGTTCTGCATCTTTTGTTTACTGGACAATTACTTGATTAATTCGTAGAGAGATTTATAATATATAGCCTCTGAATTATCAAAATGAATGGTTATTTATGTTTAACTCATTGAGTTGGTTCAATATCTATGTATTAAGCAGACTTAAATGAAAATAAGGGTATTATAAATCGCTCCCCACTGGATGTGACCTCCATTCCCTTTCCAATGTCTCTTTTTGACAGTAGTTACCTTGAAGTGCAGTGTTTCTTGCAGCATCTCAAGAAGAATTAATCTGTGCTCAATCAAACCTGAGAAGCGTGTGGGTTCTTTATATTAAGACCAAGGAAGAATTAGAAGTCCTCAGGTCAGACTCCTGCAGTGCTGCAATATTGCATGGGTTTCAGGAAAGCCTCTCCTGTAATCAGGAACCCAAAGTAAATATTACCTATGGCCCATGTTGTTTCTTCACCCTCTGTGCTTCATTAAGAAATGACAGAGAGAGTGTAAAATAATAGGCAGTTGCAGTTACATAGCACTCTTTGCAAGATCTCTGAAGTCTGTTTAACATATAGATGTGTAAGCAGCACTGAGTTTGGCCCACCGATGACGTTTGGAGTTTACTAGGGCAGGTACGTCTTGTGTGTCTGCCATCCAAACAACGTAATTGTTTATAGCACTCTGTGAATGACTGGAGTTAATTCTAATTTTTTCAATGAGGAAAACGGTAGTTTTTCAATTTCTACTGGAGAGAAGTAAAAATAGATGTCCTGCTGCCTCTGTAGCCTTCAGATGCTGAGCAAGAAAAGTGGTAGCTCACTATTCAGATGAGTAGCAGTCACCGTTGGTTCCAGCTGTCCCTCCTTGAAAAGATACTTGGTCAGGCTGGCAGAACTGGTGCCTAAATCCTCATAGCTGCAAAAGCCCACGTGTTCAGAAACGACCCTCGTATCTCCTGTGCACACGGGAGGGCGCAAAGGGGAGTAGGAATGGGTTTTGCTGTCCCTGGTTTCTGATTTTGGTGGGAGGGGAAGTCGCCCCCAATGACTCTAATATACTGATTTCTAAATCTTTGCCGCTGTTTCTCCTGTGTGTTGCAGGCTGTCTCTCAGTAATGTCGTCTAGGTGTTAAGTCTCCTGTGTTCACTAGAAGTGTCTGATAATGGAAGTGTTGAGGTTTGGTTTTTTGCCAGGTGGATCTTTGTGGATCTCACTAGCTACTAGAAGCAATCAACTTGTTTTATTTAAAGATGAATTTGTGATTATTTGACAATAAAATGGAATCCCATTTTCCCTTGACAAAATTATTTTCCCCACTTGCTAGAAAATACTATTTTTCTCCTATCAACACATTACGAATTAAAAACAAATTTCTTAAATCCTTCTGCAATCTGTCCTCACATGGGCTTTGGTTAAACTAAACAAATCTGAACTTTGTAAATAACCACAGAATAAATCATGTTCTGAATTCTCATTACTAAACAGAATAAGCCATAGTAGTGTGTGGTGAGAGCCCTGACTCTACCTGCACATTCATAATGAAGATTAGAACAATTCTGGTTCTTAATGGTACTTTAAACTGGACATATTGCACTGCCAAGAGATTGCTTTATTCATATTGTTCAAAGTACAGAGATGCTAACTGCAAATTATTAGTGTAATGTAGTCTGCAGTTTCACCGCTGTTGTCCAGTGTAAAACTATAGACTTTAAAATAACTGTTCCTTTTTTTTGATGTTTCTTCCCTCTTGTTGCCCCAGAATATCTTGTTTTCAAAATACTTGTAAAAATGAACATGTTTGTGTGTGTTTAAACACTACCTCTGGAGATAGAGAGCGACAAATTCTGAGCTGATGTATGTGTCACTGTTCGGTTTTGTAACATATTCTCCTCCTTTCTTTGTTAAAGCGCTCTCCTTCCTGTATTCCAGCTAACAAAGGCAGACGTGTAAGAGGCTGTCTTACTCTATGTGGCCCTTTACTTTTTGCCTGTTGTGTACATGCCTTTGTTTAATGTATGGATTGTGTATTTACCTCACTGCATGTCCTGTGCTGCTGCTACTGTTTGCTGCTGCTGCTGTGCATTTTGTTGTTTTACAGCTGTGGGCTAAAAGCTTTTGGAGTATTTCGTTTGGTAATCCTATGAGCAGAATATCACAGTAACTGGAGAAGATGCTTTGGATACTTTCTCATTTCAATATGAAAGTTCTTTGTGAAAGCTGATGAGGTAGATGCAGGTTGGGAAGATGAGCAAATGTCAAATGAGGGCCTGTTTGTTTCCTTGCCCTTAGCAGAGGGCATGTGTTGAGTTACGGGAATTGCCTATAGACAGTAGAAGTTTGGCATTTGGGAGGCATGTCATAGCAAATGATAGAAAATATCACAGTACAGAGATAAATAAATGGGAAGTGGGGAATTGAGTAAATTAAAGCATCAAGGAGGGCAGGAAAAATTCATACAAGGAAAACAGAGTTGGATGTGTTGCAGCCTGTTAAGCTGGAAAGCTCTGTGGTGGTTCAAAAATCAAGGTGGATTTTTAAACATGGCGTTACCAAAGCTTTGTCAGACTGAATTCGTACCAGGTATGTTATGTCCATTTTAAACTCATACTGCCACTTTTGTTTCTTTTATACACAGATGATGATAGGAATAGGAAAGCATACAAAGCATTTATATTGAATATTCAATAAATAAGCAATAATGCCCAACGGCTCTAATAATGACCTTACCTATGCAGTTCAAAGCACACCGCTCAGTGTCTTAGGCAAGCTTACAGTAACTGCTTGCTTTTGTCGGCTGTGGCTCCAATTCAGAAGTTCGTCTCTCCTCAAGATGTGTTTGTACACTGGCCAGCTTTGGCTCAGACCTACACAGGTGACACCGTGTAGACAACTAAGCAGTGTCCTATGGAAGACGACAAGGCTATTACAATTTGGTAGGAAATATTGAAATATGCTTTTGATAATCCAGTGGATTAGTTTAAAACTAATTTTAATGGTGTTAATAAGGTCCACGTAAGATTTTGGCCATAGTTGAGTCAGGTTGCTTTTGTACTTAGTTCTTCTCATCAAAGCAAGGAACCTGGAGATTACTGCAGCAATACAGCTTAAGGCCCTGTTTCTCCAGTAAAGGTGGTGGTTAAATTCCCTTCAAATTCTGTAATGGTAGACCAGGTTCTGTGTGTTTTGCGGGCTTTTTATGTTCATAAGTAAAGTAAAAATACATTTGTTACTGGTTCAGCGGTTGTCTTCAACCACAAAGGCTTTGTAGCACATTCCAGAAAAGTTCCATCATTCATATCGTGCTTGTACTAAATTTTTTAAGAGACACCATGAAAATTCTTTGGTATGCAGATGCTACTTTGAAAGAGAAAGCCTTTGGAGTATCTGGAAACATTTATGAAATGACAGATTAGATCTCTGAGTTTAACTTGCAGAAGAAAAGGAATGTCTGTTTCTTGCCATGAAAAATTTGCCTTTAGTTACTCATTGGGCTTAGTTTTTAATAATACTTTTAAGAAGAAGGTAGAATTGTTCGAGGTTAAACAGTCTTTGAGTGGACTCCAAGTTACCAAGTGTTTAGAGTCAATAAAAAAAAGAAGTTTAAAATAATTGAAACAATGTTGTACGTCTGGGGATTTACTACTTAAAGGCATCAATGTTTCTAATAGTGGATAAAGCTTCCAATTATTATTTGCTTCTGATAAATCTGAGCACAAAATGTTTGCTTTACTGCTAATTTTTGCCTCAATGCTTGAAACACATGATCTATGTGTAGAAAACAGGTGTATCCCAGTGTGAGAATTTCCCGTTTTCATTACAGAAATACTTGCAGGCATCTTAATATGCCTAAGTTGATTAAGCTGATGAGCATTCTCCACCAGATTTTTTTTTTTTAAGGCTATGATAAAACTTAACTCACTACTATTTAAAAAAAAAAAAGAGAAAAAGAAAAAAACAGCAACTGCACCTGTTCGCTACCATGACTGAGTTTCTGGAGAACAGGACTGTATATGCATGTGTAAGGTTGGCTTGGCAATATATTTTATTCCCAAAAAGCAGTAAAGTTTGTGGAATTCTTAGTATGATGTAAATGGCAAATGAGATAAAAAACACTGGAATGTTCAAATGCTTTCTGTAAATGTTGCTGCGTATTTTAGTTCGTGTGCAAGCTAGCTAGCCAAATCCTTAGCAATGGGGAACTGGTGATAGCATTGCTCCAGGAAAGCCAGGCATGCAGTGGAGCCCTCTGTAGCCCTCCTGCTTTTAGTTTTATTATTAGTGGAGAAAAGCATCCTCATCTCACTATATTTTTTTTTTAAATATAAATTTACATAGAAAACTTTGAAGTGGAGGTGTCTTGTTTTCAAGGAAGAATCCTGCATTCTCTGATTTTTCAGTTGCACTGACAAAAGATGACTTGTTATCCAAGATACCTGGTTGTACCTATATGCCCTGTTGTTCAGTGCAGTTCTGTGTTGGGCTTAGTTTCATTGTGTATCAAGGACTAGGAAAATATTCCCCTGAAGAAACTGTATTCCTGGTAAGGATGTTTTTGTAGTTCAAATAGGGTACAAAAAACTCCTCAATTCTCTGTGAATATAATTAACACTAACTTCAGGAAATACGTTGTTTGCTCTGCCTTTTCTCCTTATTTTGTCCTAAATATGTTTGCAGTGATTTACATGGTCTATATGGGAGTTCACTTCTAACAAATCTCTACTACCAGTGGACAAAACCCAGCAGTGTTTAGAAAATATTCACTCTTTAAAAATGCTGAATTACAAGTCTCTTCAAGTGTTTATCAGGCCCCTGAACTAGCAGCTCTTATGCATGTGCTCACCTCTCAGCAGAAGCCTTGGTGTGTTCATACTCAATAATTTTCATTGCATTTTTGTCCTTTAATTCAGAAGTTGCTTAAAAACTGAATTTTTATCCTCTCGGTTCTCTTTTAGGAATTCTACTGCTCCCATACCTTATTTTGGTGAGAGTTGAGAACTCGGTTTTAATCATGTCTTTTGATTTATTTTTTTTGTTGGTTTTTTTTTTCTCTTGAATTGTTCCCCAAGATTGATTCAGTTGAGAATTTTACATTGTCTAATACTCCATCACGGGATGAAGATAGCAAGTCTCATCTCCATTCAAGATCAAGGTCTCCTTCTACAGCTAGTGAGATTGAACCAATCGAGGTACTTCAGTGTTGACAAGTTTTTGTCTTTTTTTTAGGAGTAACGGTTTCACTCATAGAAAAAATGCTGTTGCAAATCCTTTTCTTTAGAATGAAGGCCACTTCTCTGCAGTGAGACTGTTCAGGACCTTGTAATAGCCTTCTGCACTAGTCGTGAACTGTATTTTGGGGAATGTTGCATTTCCTTTCACATATGGTTAATCGATTAGGGATGGGAACTATGTTGAATCAATTATTAGATACAGTCTCTCTTCATAACATATCCTCAGCCATGAATATTTAAGAAATGCTGGCACAAAGTTAATGTTATACTGTAGTTTGTAAGAGCACACTTTGGAGTTCTGCTGAAAGTCTTGTCAATACAAAAGACTAGCCAGGCTCTGCAACTGTAATAATGTATCCCCTTTCCCTGTTAAAAAATTTAACAATCTCTTAATTTTACACTAGAAAAGATTCAGTCAAATGTTTAAGATAATACAAAATTATTTTTGACGTTTAGGAAATCAATCTTACAAATCGTTTTGCTGAGAAATAAGATTTGGTTTTCTGAGTCCTTTCCTGTGTTTAATCAGTTTGGTTTCGCTGCTTGTACGTTTGGGGATGGGGTGGGTGGGACGTTGTAGTCTTTTTACTTTAGTCAAGCTATCTTTGATAGTATGTATTTGATGTCTTATTGATCCTTTGGGGACTATGTTCAGGTTACAGATCATCCTCCCCGTTCAATTCACACACCAACCATGAGGACAGCATATATTGGATCGGGACTCTCTGCACCAAAGGTATTTAGTCAAGCATTCACACTTTTTTAATAGTAAGGGGGAAAATATCATTCCTGGGCAACAGCTTCAGGAGAACCGTTTATGACAGTAATCTTACCAGAACTGCCTAGAAGGGTTGTTTATATGCAAGCTGGTTGCTTTCTAAAACTGAAAGCCCCTCATTCTTACATTATGTGATGTGACAAGTTGTACTAGGCATTCCACTGTAGCAGCACACAGTCACTTGATTATAGGAAAAACAGTAGTTTGGACATTAGAAAGAGATAAATGAACCAGAACATGAAGAAAGGAAAAAAGAGACTTTCTGGGAAGAGAGTGTTTTCCGGCATGTGTCTGACCAACCTGCCTCTATGCTCTGCATACAATAAAACTGATGTCACTGTGGGCCAGTCTCGGATTAGCACATCTGTGTGCTAATTAGATGCTTTGTTTTGAGAAAAGGCAAAGAGTAAGCCTAAAATGAAACCGTAGATCTGCATTTTTATAAGCGGTATAGAGTGAGCACTACAGCCAGCACTGCAGCACTGGGCTGGGAGAAGGAATTCCAGTTTTTCTGTCTTCTGGCTTTTTACTTGCCTAAACATTGATTTTACATCAGTTGTTGAAATTATTTTGCTGTTGGCCAAATAAGCCAGTCAGTGTATGCTATTTCACAGTGAATTGTGTATATTCAAGCAAATGAGGAATAAGATACAAGCTATTAAAAGGAAAAATTTTCTTATAAAAGTTTCAGAAGTGCCTCAATGGCTTAGGAATCTTCTGTATATTTAAAAAAATGACAGTTTTTCTGCAACTAATCAATGAAGTAAGTCTGTCTTTCTAATAGCTCTGTTTCTCTGCTTTGATAAATTGCAAAATAGCAAAAGACTTTAGTTGTGTAAAGGAAAGCTAAAAAGTTTGAGCAGACAGTGTTCTGTTGGCAACATCTTAGTACATCAATTAAAAAAATACTGTAAGTGCACTTGGAACCATGTGAAACAGATTTTACTGTGCAAATAATTTCATTTTTGCAAATATTTGCTCAGTAAGTAATGATTGGCTTTCTAATTTATTATGTTTCCTAAAGAACCTTCTTAGTTTATGGTTGCATCAGTTTCTAAAGCTAAGTATTGTTTCCCTGCAAGTTTCAAAACAAGACATCCATCTGTAGACAGAAAGCTTCCATTGTAACAGTAAAACTGTCATTAAGTATGGATGAAGTTTGAGCCCTTAGCTGTGATATCGTATGCTGTGAAAAACAGGACAGTGAGTAAAATTTTAATGTACCTACTCATTAAATTAGTCTGCAAAATTGTCTTATTTCACATCATGTAGATCGTCCAAGTTGTTTGGACAGCCTTTGCATTCACCCTATGCTGTATCCTTTCTCCACCTACCAGTTGTTACTTTGCTGGGAGTTTTTTTAGAAAAGCAAAGCAGCTTCCTGGATTTTATATAAGGCCTTTTATGAATCATACTACTACATTATGTAGTCATTTAGCCTTGATGTCATAGCACCAGCACCGCCATCCTTGAGAGGAGAAAGAGAATTAAAACACTTACTCATGTAGTCTGTGTTCCCAAGAACTAACAAGAAGAGAAGCCCTTTCAAAATCAACTTCAGCTGTACTCTTGCTTTTAAATTGGGTGTTCTGAAATTCCCTGTGCCTGACACCATAAAACTGAACTCTGTCATGCTTTCTGGCATAAAAATTAGAATTTTGAAGAAGTCTGGTATTTTTCTTCGAACTAAGGCAACACTCCTTAGAGAGGAGCACTGAATTTGCAGCTTAGAAAATACTGTGGTGGGTTGACCTTGGCTGGCCGCCAGGTGCCCAGCAAGCACATACGTACACACGTTCAACTTCTAGAGTGTAATGGAATAATTTTGGCAACTTTCCTATCTGCAATGGAAGCAAACTCGTGTTCTGAGACAAGGTCTGGTTTCCATGGTTTTGTTTACAGAGGGTGGTTTAAATTATTAATAACGAGCACTGATAAGGAATTTTTTTCAGCCCATGTGTTAGGAGCTCAGGTCTCATTTCAGCAAACACAAATAAGCTACCTTTTTAAGTCCACCTATGCACTTTTATGTCTGTGAAAAAATAACTGTTCTTCAGAAGCGTTACAGGTATTAACATCCTTGTCTGCTTGTTTCACAGCCTAAAGCCCACCAGTTTGTAGTGAAATCATTTAATACACCAACAAAATGCAATCAATGCACATCTCTGATGGTTGGTTTGATACGACAGGGCTGTACTTGTGAAGGTAAGCACTTGTGAAAGCAGGAAGTATGAACTGAAGTTCTTGTAGATGCAAATTGCACAGTAAATGTTGTGCTGTGATAATGCAGGAATTTTCTGTTTATATTTTGAGTAACAGAATATATTCTTATACTTCAGTCTTTTAACAGTAGAAGCCAAACACTTTGAACATCTTACGTAACAGATTACCTAGTTACCTGGGGACATACTTATTCCAGTTGGTGGTAGAAGAGCTTAGTTCAGTTTACTTAAAATAGCAATAAGGGGCCACAGTCAGTGGTCGAGTATGCTGACAGCAGCTTTGCTTTCTGACTCAGGGCAAAATGTAAGACAGCTTTGCCATTCAGTACCACTTTTGCTTCTTTCCAGGACTAATTTATTCTAGGTTTGTACATACACAGAATGACACTCATCATTGAGAGGAGCTTCCAGCTTTTTGTTTACTAGTAGAGTTGGGCCTAGAGGAAATCATTGACATTATCTCAGTGTGAACTTCTGCTTAGGCTCTTTCTTACCTGGATGAAACCAGTCCGTGTATCCATACACCTCTGGAAATGAGAAAATCAGAATTTAGAGCAGACAAAAGCATGAACTGCTGCTGTGCGCAGACTTACATTTCTGTCTCGGTGTACCAAAGTTCAGTGAAACTATTGAGTTGTTGGTCAAAAAAGGGAGGATTCCTTTATAAATGTTATCATCATTATCATAGCTTTCGCATTGCACAAGAAATAACCATCAAATCTTTTTGTTTCTTCTCCTCTTCTTCTCCTCACAAGTATGTGGATTCTCTTGCCACGTGACCTGTGCAGACAAGGCTCCCGCAGTATGTCCAATCCCTCCCGAACAGACTAAGGGACCTTTGGGAATAGATCCGCAGAAAGGCATAGGAACAGCTTATGAAGGACATGTCCGAGTAAGTATCAGGTAGCTGCATGTGGGGCACTTATATTAAAATTATTGTTTTCCAGAGCTGGAATTAAACTCTTAATTGGGGCATCGGGGGGATGGGTTCAATTATACCTTAAGGTAACAGTTTGGAGACTAACCTAAATTTTCACAAAGCAACTCTTAGCATTTTCAACAGTAATTCTCTCTCCATCTCTGTCGGCCTTTGTGCTTTGAGTTGGTCTTGAATAATCCATCTCTAGACATCAGATCGTCTTCCAGGGCCTGTGAGTTTTTGAGTCTTTCTGTTGATGCTAGTACTGTTTAGGGTCATTGGTGTGGGTACTTGTATATAAATACTAAAATTTACTCGACACAGTTTTGGCCATATTCCTGTTGACCAACTAGAGGTGGATTTCTTTCTCTATATTTCTTAATATAGCTTTGAATGAGTTTGTGAAATAAGAAGAAAGAATCTGTGGTGCTATGAATTTTTTAAATAATATATTGTGGTGTCTGTGTGGCTGTGTTTGATCCTGTAACTGCACCTGTGCTATTGCTTATGTTGCTTAATGTTATCACTGAATGAAAGCTTGTCAGCCTAGATGAGAGAATTGATTTTTGTACTGTGTGTTTGATTTTTGATTGCATGCAAACGTACAGAGAGTTGATCAGGATTTATTTTGCTAAAGGTACCAAAACCAGCTGGAGTAAAGAAAGGTTGGCAGAGAGCGCTGGCAGTGATCTGTGATTTTAAACTCTTCCTATATGATGTAGCGGAAGGAAAAGCATCCCAGCCCAGCGTGATAGTGAGTCAGGTCATAGACATGAGGTAAGCTGTGCAGTGCTGAGTGGGAGCTTTTCAGAGGCACTGGGAGGTTTTTTTCCACTTTTCCTTTTTGTGAAATCAGTAAGCAAGCTCCAGAGCTTTTATGAAACACTGTAATCCATGTTGAGAGCCTCTAATTTTCCAGAAAAAAGCAGTATTTGCAGTTAGCCTGAACTACACTTGTGTGTTCGTATGTGGCAATTTAAACTTCCATTACTACATCGTGTGCCCAAATGCATCTGTTCAGCTGTATAGAAGATCTGGAAAGAATAAAGAAGAAAAGTACATTCTTTTGGGGTTGAGTAGAGTTTTGAAGGACATAAAACTTTGTTGGAGGATAAAACTAATACAATTTTTGATTCAGAAGGGCTAAATAATTTGTTCCCACTGTCTTCAGTTTTACTGAAATACTACCAACTTCAGTGAAGGTTGAGCACATTTAACATACCGATTAAGTAAAGCTCATCTCTGAACTAGGTTAGTTTATCCAGGAAGTCTCAAACAGCTGTAGCTTATAGCTTCTAGTGAGTTTGGATTCTTGTGAAAGAGTTGGAGAGGTGTTCTTGGTCCAGGCTTATTTTTTAAGTGTGATTATTTTAATTTTTTTTTAAAAGGTTTTAATTTAGACAGACAAAAAGCAGATACTCTGACTAGATTTATCTCCATCAACATTTACCAGGAATTAATTATGCAACATTGCATTTGTAAGTTTCATCTGCAGATAAAGAGGAAAGGATAATTTTAAAAATTAGATCTCAGTACTGTCTTGTTGTGCCCTTCACAAAACAAGGCTATTGGTACTATGGAAATATAAGTAAAAAAAAACCATACAGATTTTGCTCTTTAACTCTTTTCCAATTATGTTTGTGGTCTCTGTAAGGGATGAAGAATTCTCAGTGAGTTCTGTCTTGGCCTCAGACGTCATCCATGCAAATCGAAAAGATATCCCCTGTATCTTTAGGGTAAGTATTATGTCTTGAACCCCAGAAATACAGGGTTTCACAGTGTGATGTACGGTGTGCATTCACTGACAGCTTGCTAGTATTTTATTTCCTTTGCAAGTTCTGGCCGTGTGGTATCCATGACAGCAGCAGCAATGCATAAGGATCTGTACATATATCATTTTTGTGGTAAAAATTGCACCGGTACGTTTAGACAAGGCTCTCATTTCCCCTTTATGTGGGTTTTATTTTTTTAACCTTCACAATAAGACGTACTTTTCTCAACCTCCTTTTAGTCATTTGGAATTCTGTTCTTTGCGACCTTCTACATTTTCATTTCCTAAAGTTGCCTTCTGCTTCTCAATTTAATTTGTTGTGTTATTCCTGAAGCCTTTATTTTATCTATTTTCTTTGTATATATGCATTAGATCTCTGAAAACTCCCATTCATCAGGTAGTCAGTATAGAAATCTAGTGTAAAATGCACATCAAAGTTTATGTCTATTATCAGGTATCAGGATTTTGCCATCATTGGCTTTTTCTAATACTATTCTTATTTTTACTAGATATTCTACTGAAGCTTTCACCTCAATGAAATATCTTTGGTGTCTTATTAATTCCCCTATCATTTCTGTACTATACCATTGTATTTTGCTCCTTGTTTTTCCGGAGTTCAGACTGTTCATCATTCTGCGTGCTGAGAGGAGATAAACCTACAAAAGGGACTTTCATTTTTATCTATAGTAGCTGTACCAAATACATGAAAAGGATCATAGATCATTCTTCCATAAAGACCATTCCTATTGCATTAAGTTATTAACGAAAACTATTGGTCTTAAACATACAGAATACTTTGTAAGAAATGCTTTTCATTATAAAATTGCTGTGAGAAACAATTGACCAGCTTTTATTTAGGGCAGACATTTCCGAATTATAGAATAAATACAAATGCATTTAGAATAAAGCCGAAGTTTTCTCTGTTCTTTGAGTTATTCACATCTACAGGTTTTTCTGCTGTGGGTTCTTGATTGAGACAGAGTGTTTTCTATTAACTAAGGCTAAATTTTTGCATTCTTAGTTCAGACAGCTAATTAAAAGGGCACTTATAGGCATCTGATACCCTTGTAAAAATGATCATGATGAAATTTTTTATTGCTTATGACTTAAAATACATATTTTAAAATTTTCCAGGTTACAGCTTCCCAGCTCTCTGCATCCAGTAATAAGTGTTCAATCCTGATTCTAGCAGACGGTGAGAATGAAAAAAGCAAGTGGGTAGGAGTGCTGAATGAATTGCATAGGATCTTGAAGAAGAACAAACTCAAAGACCGCTCAGTCTATGTTCCCAAAGAAGCTTATGACAGTACCTTACCCCTCATCAAAACAACACAGTCAGCAGCAATCATAGGTATGAAATGAATAAGGAGAAAGCTCTAAGAAAAATGGGTATGCTAAAAGCATACTTTTTTGCAAAAAAAGTGTTAAATTGCATTATCTACTGAACAGAGAGTAGTATGTAGTGTTTTTATCCCATATGGAAATGTGGATGGGTTTAAGAGAGAAGTGCAATTCACTACTCAGTACTTTTGTCAGATCTCTAAGAATATTCCCCCTATTCACACATATTCATAATTATAGATAATTTTGACTGAGAATTGGACATTACTCTTTTGTTATTCTGTAAACATGATTCTTTAACTGGGCAAAATTAGCAGTATAGAATAGATGTAAATCACTGACTTTACAAAATCTGCCTGTGGGTCCAGAGAGAGAAAACGTAAAAGCAGAGAATTAATTTAGTCATTTTAAATAAGTGCATGCATAAAATAAGTTAAACTCTGATTATTTAAATGTGATATTATAGTTATTTCAAAGTCGGTAGTACACTTAAGTGCTCTGAATGGTTTGTTAAAAATGATGTTTCTTGCTGTTACTTCTACTAACAGGAGAAATGGGAAAAGACTTATTTTTTTCAGAAATTTGAAAGATTGGGAGGTCACCAATGTGTTTTTTGTTACAGGAATGTGTTGGGTTTGGCTTTATATTTGTTTATTTCAAGATATTAAAAAACTGTCTCTGTTAATCAGAATTATCACTATTACTGAAGAAGTATTTCCAAAGAAAAATAACCTTTTTTTTTTTTTCTTCTTCCCCTTAATATCATAGACCACGAAAGAATAGCTCTGGGGAATGAAGAAGGGTTATTTGTTGTGCATGTCACCAAAGACGGTAAGAGATTAGGAACTGGTAATAATTTCCCTAATATTAAATAATCAGAAAGTGACTTTGTAACCTTCTTTCTCTTTCAATATCCTCTGGTTTCATTTTTCTCGATTTACTACATTATCAGCTGGACAACCCCTTGTGAGAGCTAATAATAAGGTGGTGTTCTGTACGCTTTCTGTTTTGGGTATCCTTTCCAGTAACAAAGATCCAGCATCTGGAATGCAGTTGAAGGTTTTCTTCCCTTGTTTGAAGCAGGTTCAATACTGAATTCAGACCAGGTTGCTCAGGACTTCGTCCAGTCGGGTCTTGAAAATCCAATCCACAAGGACGGAGGTTCCACAATCTCTCTGGGCTGCCTGTTGCAAATTATTCTCACAATGAAATGTTTTCTTTGTATATCCAGTAGGAACCTCCCTCATTTCAATTTGTGACTACTGTCCCCTCTTTTCCTGCTGTGCACCTCAGTAAGGAGCCTGGCTTGATCCATTCTGGAACCTTCTCCTTGGTATTGGAAATGAAAACTTATGTTCGGTATTGTAAAAAGATGTAATGACTGATGCCCAAGCTAATTCAACAAGTAACATGTTTAATTGTATGTTTCAGTTCTTTGAGGGTTTTCCTTTATTCAGTAGTTTTGTGGCTATAAACTGTTTTTGAAATGAATACTGAAATAATACAGCGGTTGTTAACTGCATTGGATCTGCTCCTCCCTTTTTCTGATGAGGAAAAGCCACATATGGTATCATTAAAATACAAGTTTTGATTCTGTACTGTTTAATATTGCAGGGAAGCAATAAAGGGGATTTCTTGGGTTTCTTTCATAGTTTATCTTTACAAATACATATGTTATAATCAATTCACACTTCAACATTATTTACTTGGATTTGGGGGTTTTTGTTTTTGTTTTGTTTTTTTAGAGATTATCCGTGTTGGTGACAACAAGAAGGTTCATCAGATTGAGCTTATCCCAAATGAACAGCTCATTGCAGTAATCTCAGGACGAAACCGTCATGTGCGGCTTTTCCCTATGGCTGCCCTGGATGGAAGGGAGACTGAGTTTTATAAGCTGGCAGAGACAAAAGGCTGTCAGTCAATAGTTTCTGGACATGTGCGCCACGGAGCTCTTACATGCCTGTGTGTAGCTATGAAAAGGCAGGTCCTCTGTTATGAACTAAATCAGAGCAAGATACGTCACAAAAAGATCAAGGAGATTCAAGTCCAGGGGAATGTCCAGTGGATGTCAGTCTTCAGTGACCGTCTTTGTGTGGGCTACCAGTCAGGTTTCTTAAAATACCCCCTTCATGGAGAAGGCAGCCCATACAGTCTGCTCCATCCAGATGACCACACGCTATCATTTATCTCACAGCAGCCAACTGATGCCATCTGTGCAGTCGAAATCTCAAATAAAGAATACCTGCTGTGTTTTAGCAGCGTAGGGGTTTACGTTGACTGCCAGGGCCGAAGATCTAGACAACAAGAATTGATGTGGCCCGCAACTCCATCTTCTTGCTGTAAGTTGGCATGTGTGTCAGTGTACTTGCTATTATACATTGAAGTGATGACTGCTTGTATTAGTATCCACAGGAAGTGAAGTTCAAGGATAATTACCTGACAGGTAAATGAATGCCCTCAGCTTCTGTCAGCATTTTTAATCTAGTCAGAGGGTTTAATCCTGATCTCGTTTATGCTAGTTTTGACAACTGTCACTGACTTGTACTGCTGTAGCACAAAGAGGAATCAAGGGTCAGGATTTCTAACTCTGATGTCCAATTTCTAAACACATGGCCTGATCTCTAAAACAGCTGAAAGCCTCGGGTCCTACAGAGGCTAATGGGTTCTTTATGCATTCACTACCACTGATACTGGACTGTTGTTATTTAAAGCCATAAAATTTGATTGTACTTTGGCTCAGCATTGTGATTCAAGCTTTCTTGATGTTCAGAGTCATCAGGATCTGGTAGTTTGACTTGTTTTTCTCTAATGGTGTTTATTCCTACTTAACGGGGTTTTTTCTTTTCTTTCCTTACTCCTTCATTCTCCCTTCCTCAGCATTTTTTGTTGACACTCTTCTCATTCATTTCCTCTCTTTGCTTTTTTTAAAAAATTTTTTAAAAAATTTAAGTTTTTCCCCCTCTGTCTCCCTCTTCCCTTCCAAAATACAATGTATGGCAGGCGGTATAGAAAATATATTTCATAACCTCAAGGGAAAAATGCTGTAATTTTTCAAGATTTCAGTTTCCAGCAAGAACTGTGTTAAATGTTTATTGCACATTTTTTCAAAGCTGGGGCTTTATCTTTGTGACAGTTGGAGGAAAAAAAAACCCTGCAAAGCCCATCTTCTTTTTAATGTCTTTCTGAATGAGGATAAAGATTAGCCAAATTTGTCCTCAGAGTATTTGTGAATGAGCCCAGTCTTATGTTGATTTTTAAAATAGTCTGCCTTCTTACTTCACTGTGACAGCAGTACAGTCACACTGCAGAGTAGGGGAATGTTTCACCTTGTTTGAGTGAAGTCCCTTCTGAATGTGGAAGGAGCAACTTTTACAGGCTGTATGTCACTTCTTTTCAAGCGAGAGTGTGATTATTACAGTGGACTCAGAGAATAAATGAATGAAAATAAAAGATATTGTGATAGATTGTAAAACAGGTATTTTCACATGTAGTTCATCTATACTGGTCATTGATATTTGTGAAAGTTTTTTGATTGCCTTAAATGAAGTGACTTGATGTTATTTCAATTCAGAATGGAGGTATATTTTATAGCAAAAATTGTTACATTTAGACACAAATTGGATGCTCTTGTTAGTCTTGGCAGACCATGGCAGTCTTGTTGCTGACATGGAAATACTGAATTCTCCTTTAGAAGTGGTCCCAGTGGAACAAATGTTATCCTGGGGAAATGTGCCAGATGAGTAGCACAAGAATTCTCTTTATAATCCAGAAAATAAGAAAAGAGAATTAAAGCTAGAAGGAAACGTGAAGATTTTTTGACTGTGTCATGGTGCTTAGTTCCAACTGATGTTCATTTAGTACATAATCCAAAGACTAGGAGCTCAGTTTATTCAAATGACAGTTATTAAATAACAACAATATATTTTCCTACCACATCATTTTCAAAATGCAACCTCTTAAAAATAGGGCTTTTAGAAGAAAAAACTTTGAACCACATCAGTGTTTGGCAGAGTAAACTGTAATCCCTTGTACTTCAAAAAGTAGTTTGGTTCTGCAAAGTTCAAAGAAAAGTCATGAAGGTTTTAGGTTTTTTTGGTGGTGGTTTGCCTTCAGAATAAATTTCTTGGTCATTTTTGAGTTAAAACAGACTTTGCAAAGATTGTTGTTGGGTTGTGGCATGGGGTTTTTTTGTAATAAATATGGTTAAACCATAAGAAATTGTGTATTTTGAGCCCTGACATGACACTATACCTAATCCTTACCTCTCAGGTTACAATGCACCATACCTCTCTGTGTATAGTGAAAATGCAATTGATATCTTCGACGTGAACTCCATGGAGTGGATTCAGACTATTCCTCTCAAAAAGGTAACTTGCTGTTTCAATATCAGTTAAAGAATATGTCTAGACTCGATATTGCTTTGCTACAGTCATACTGGGTTTTTTAAGCACATTAGAAGCCATCATTAAAACTGCTTGTTTAAAAATAATTTGAACTAAAAGAAGAGCTACTGCAAAGAAACCAGTGTTTTTTGTTCAAAGTATAAAATATGAAATGTTTTGCATGTGGTTTTGGTGTTTTAGATGAATGGTCAGTCTGGAGCATATGAATATGTTACTTACTGATATTATTGTAGAGAGCAGTTTCTTGATATTAATTGCATATGACTTCATTGAGACTGATTGCATCTATGTTATTGCCAGAAGATGGTGGATGTTAAACAGGTGGATATTTAAATAGGCCTTCAGAAATCTTACCTTCTGCTGCTTGAGAACATTGTAGACAGATAGGGTTAGAACATTTTCGTTCAACCAGTACAAATATTAAAACACCAGGATGATGTCAGGTTTGGATCACTTATCAAAGGGAAGAGGTTTTTGAAAACTGACACTTCTTGGTATTTAGGAGGTGTTTGCTCAGCTGTATTTGGAAAGAAAGAAGAAAAGGGGTTTTTTTTCCCCATAGTTTAGACTGATTTCAACTTTGTATTAGTGTCAAGATAATACCTTTAACTGGCATTCCAATGACATAGAACTACAAGAAATTGTCCTTGTGGTCTTGTGTTAGTCATTCAGTCTCTCTGCATATCGATTTCCCACATGTCAGATGCAGACCAGGATATTATGGCAATGCTGTAAGGATAAATAGTGCAAAGGTCAAGGTCCTCAGCTATTAACCATCTTAAGGAAAGAAGAAGAATCTGGCCTTTTAGAGGAAATCTCCTTTACTCTTTCTGATGTCCAAACTGAGTTATTAAGCAGTTGGAGCATTTTTTTCCTACACAGCAGAATGTGATTTAGTACTTTTATTAGTATTTGGCTCAAGACTGCCCATTTAATGAATGAAGCTACTCTCAACGAACAAGAACTGCTACATCTGGGACACTCAAAAATGGCAATTTATTATGAAGAATTTGTTTCTAACACAACTTGCAGACTCAGAGAGTGGAATGCTTCTTTCATTTTGAGGTTGGAAATCACTAATACCAATAGGTTTTAGCGATCTGTATATACTCTTATCAAGTTGCAAAGCGTCGTTGTGACGTGATACTAACACAAAATAAAAGCACAGCTTATTGCTTTGTGCATGTAACAGACAAAACTGAATTGTTGTATGAAGTAGACTTCTAACAGAACTATTTATTTAAATGCTGGGAGGAATGGTATTAAGCCTATGTCTTTAAGTGGAATTTTAGGCAACTCCCTCTGTGCTTGTTCTCCAAACAGAAGTTTAAAATCTAAAATTATTTTTAACTCTGCTTCATGGCTTTAATGACTCACAATTGTTGTTCTTGAGAGCAGGCATGTGTTACTGGAGATATGAGACACTGCTCCCTCCAGCCTGCAGTTCTTCTGTGGAGCAGGGTTTGCTCTGGCCAGTTACGCTGTTCTGCTCCCTGGCTGGCTTCGTAACAGTGCTCCTTTTATAGAGTTTATAATGCACCTTGGAACTTTCAGAATAAAATGCGCTATATAAATGTGAGTTGTTACTATTACAAGGACTGATTTTCCTTGTTTCAGGTACGACCCTTGAATACAGAAGGATCACTAAACCTTTTAGGCCTGGAGACAGTTAGATTAATATATTTCAAAAACAAAATGGCAGGTAAGTAAAGAGAAGCCAACTTTCACCATGCAAATTCTTGTTTAGAAAGAGCATTTTTCTTTGGCCTGGATCTGTGCATTGTAGAAAGTGATCTGTCAAACGTATGGGTGCTTGTTAATTTGGGAGAAAGCGAAAGCTTATAGATTCCACGGTGATTGCAATTAATGTCTGCTAGGCAGCTACTCTGAACTTTTTTTCCCTTTTGAATATTCAATGAAGACTTGAATGAAGACTGGAAATAGAAAATAGAATGGCTAGACACTCCTTCCAAATCTGGGATCACCTGACAGAACACTATCTAAAAATACCTGCACAATTAAAGGCTTTAATAGTGATCTTAGTGATTAATATTATACTTAACCTAACCTTTCCTAAGGATCAGAAAGTAATATAATATTGTGTATTCATAACTTGTTATTAGGGCTACATATGATTGTGTGCCAAAGTTTTAACTTGAGAATTCTATTTTTGTTATGAGTCTTTTTGACCTTTTTTTTCTTTAGAGCCCATTTCATAAGCATGCTCCTGAATAATTTCCTTAACCTTTTTTTTTAACCTCTTAGGTGGAGAGGGGATGTGCTTTGGTTTAACAATCAAGAACTATTTTTTTTTTAACAACTATTCTGAAAATAGCGGAAATAAACACTCTAGAAACATATACTGCTGTTGGCAGTGTTTCAGTGTTTATTTAAATTGCTATCAAATTAGTACAAAATGAATGACAGTGGTAGAGAGAAGCAAGGTGGTGGAAGTATGTATAAAGAATTTTCAAGTCTAATAAAGGTTGAACATTAAAAGTAGAGCAGAAGACGAAAAAAAAGTGGAGAGCATAGGATCAGGAGTGTGTAAGGCTGATGCTTTGCTCCTGTATGTTTCTCACTGTCTTTCAGAAAAGGTTGCCAAACAGTAAAGTATCCTCCAGGTGTATCTCCTTAAAAGTCTGCCAGTTTTTTTCCTGAAGCTACTTACCTAGTAGATCCCACAGTTCATGAAATCTCCAGTTGATCTTAAGGAAAGAAGAGATTTCAGTTCCATACAAAAACTGTTTTGGCAGTGAGCAGTAGGTGTTGGGTATGTTCAAGTTTATTAAGTGTAACTCTAGTCTCCATATATATAAAACAAGACAGAGCAGTTGCAGCGTTCATTCAAAGTAATGCTCCTATTGTATGATTACCACTGCTATACATTTCATGTCTTTATTAAAGATGCCTTGGTCAGATCTACGCATGTGGAAAAAAATCTTCCCTTTTCCCACAGTTGCACCAAAATACGTCAGTGTTCAAAAGGAGTAGTCTCTTTGGAGCAGGGAATGAATGAAAAAGAATCTTGCACTGAGTTTCCAGACGACTGGCAGAACAAGACTGTTGTAGTGATTTTTCAGTGAGAATTGCCAAAGAAAGTTTGAGATAGAGGACTGATATCCTTTCCTGCCCACCTAAATGTTTTGTTTGAAAGAATTAATCAGTGGCTTTTTGAGAACATAGTTGTGGCAGCTTGTGTGTGAAGAAGGGTTAAAAGTCTGTTGCTATATAACAGAGTAGATAGTGACCAAGAAAACCCATAAATCAAGGAGCATTCGTTCATGTTTGGGAAATGGGTGGTGTCCAACACTGGCAAGAGCAGAGGGAGAAAAGGTCTTTGCATTCAAATTCCATGAATGCCTAATGAAGTGTCCCACTGGATCATCATATTTATATTGATTTCAGAGGGCGATGAACTGGTAGTACCTGAGACATCAGATAACAGCCGGAAGCAAATGGTTCGAAACATCAACAACAAGCGCCGCTATTCATTCAGAGTACCAGAGGAGGAGAGGATGCAGCAGAGGAGGTCGGTATTCAACATGTACTTGTCTTCTGTACATGCCTGTAGGCCCTGAAGGACAGTGGGTGATGCCAATGTAGTACTTCATTTGTTGCTTTTTGGAGTGCCCATTCAGATGTTTCTCTCTTCACTACTGCCTTAATCCTCAATGTTTAATTTGTGTTAATACCAGTTTGGATTTGGATATGCACTGGATACACAAGTATTCATTAGTTCAAATTAATTATGTGAAAGAGCTGTAATTTGGAATGCATGTCTCCACATACTGTATATAGGTACACAGGTGTGCACAGATACTGTATATATAAAGATCTGTAATAAACACTTTGCAAAAGGAGATTACATTGCTAACTATGCATATGGATTAATTACTTTCAGACTCTGGTTCTGCTTTTCTTTCTGAAGGCAATTCTACTCTCAGCAGTATTCCAAGGCATCTGCTTTTTTTGATTTATAGATTTAACTACATAAACGTTCTATAAATCTCAGAAAACTCACCTCTTCAGAGGACATAGGACTTCAGGATGTGTTTCTAATAGAAGTCTTTAACAGTTCACAAATACTTTCCTAGATGGCAATAAAAATAGGTCTGCACTACTCAGAGTGTTCACAGAGGATGTTACTGACCATTTACTATCACTCACTAAAGATGACCTGCTACTGTGCTAAGCTACACTCCAAGAACTGAGTATTTCAGTTTTCTAACTTCCAACGTCTTCCACCGATGGTTGGCTCCCAGCTTTCCTTCCTTTTTGGCTCTAAGAAAAGTAACAGCTGTGTACAGTGGAGATAAAATTCCAGTTCTTGTCCTTGCTTTTCTGAGCTGATCGCGGTTTGGTGTTTTAAAATTTTATTTATTCTGAGTTCTGAAATGCATCCTTGCCATTTTGAAGAGCTTTTAATTCTGACCACAGACTGAGAAAGGTACTGCAGTATTATTTTAATTCTATTTTCATATTTGTACTTCATTTTCATCTCCACTTTGTAATACATCACAAATGAGTTCTGTTTTTACTCATCTTACAGAGCTTTTTATCAGCTCATAGTGTTTGTATATTCTTTGAATATTAGTAACTACTGGGCATGGGCTGTTAGCCTGTAAACAGCATTCTTTTGTTCTGGCCCCTTGCCCTCTCTTCGAGCTGGAAGCTTGTCCATGCAAGTGCTGATAGCAAGGGTTTATCACTGTTAACATGGTTAAATAGTTAATTTCCATTTAAAACTAGCTGATAATCAAAGCTGTACTTGTTTTATGAATGTCCATCCTCACCTCGAATGAAATATCTAAACAAAGTATTTTCTCTTCCAGGGAGATGCTACGTGATCCGGAAATGAGAAATAAATTAATTTCTAACCCAACTAATTTTAACCACATAGCACATATGGGTCCAGGAGATGGTATACAGATTCTCAAAGACCTTCCAATGGTAAGTACAGACATACATGTGAGAGTGACTGACAGCAACAGAGGCTGCAAACAAGTGAGAGAAGGACAAGTGCAATTTTAAGTGTATATTCAGAATATTGATCTATTTCGTATCAGGAGCAGCGTAACTAGGGAAATGGAGCTGAACATGCTCTGCTGTATGTGATAAAATTTAAACAAAGAGGATGACACTTAAGCATCGAGGGGAGGAGGAGGAGTGGCTAATGCCTCCTGGGTTTTAAGGCAGGTTGACCTCTCAGTGTTGATGACAATTTTTGTGACCCATACGAAGGGACAAAATTAAGAGGATTTGGGCCTGTGTTCTTTGTGGGAATGGAAAGAGAAATTCCTTTCTCCGTGAACTGTATTACTGTAAGTTCAATTCCTTTCTTCTCTTCCCATCTTTAGCTGCAACTTAGGCTCTCTCTTTACAGCCTCTTCTCCTCAGACAGTGGAACTGTAGCAGTTCAACAGTGTGTAGTGCCCAAATTTCTTTCCATGCCAAAGACGCTATTTTTCATTTCCCTCCAAATTAACTAGTCTCAGTGAAACAGAACTTCCTACATAAAAACTAACCTTTTAAGTTGAAAAATGGAAAAAGAAAACATGTAATAGTGCACACCCATGTTTGTTTCCACAAAACCTTATGCAGGAAATACTCACCTGGAAGTTACTGAAATTTTTGATGAGCTAAAGACCAAGTAATATTTTGTTCATAGGAGAGTATCATACTGCTTGCTTCAAGCTACCTTGAGCATCTTGTTTGTATGTTCTGTATTGTTTTCTAAACTCGTCCACGATAACACAGATGTGATTCAGAAGATGCTAATTAGTACTGTAAGAAAGATCAAATGATATGATATCAAACAGATGATATGAGTACCACCATAAGACATAGGCATCAATACAGAAGTGCTGTCTCAAATGATCATCGTTATTACTTGGAGTTTGTGCAGAAAGCGGGAAGTAGATGCTGAAATTGGGTTTTTCAGATGCTGAAAAGCCCAAAGGAAACAACAGTACGACTGGAAAATAAAGCGTGCCATGCAGTTGCACTAGTTTAGGAGCATAACCTCTCATCTCCAGATACTCGTTTTACCTCACTTTTGCAACAAATGGTACTGTTATGCTACACTTTACCGTGAAGTCTGCACATTGTACGTGAGCCCTTCTAGCACTGTGTTTTCTTTAGATGAGAATATGCAAGGAAAGGAAAGGATTTACTTTAAATCTCCTGCTAGGGGCACTCTGAGAAACCTCTCAATAACAAATATATTCAGTGCAGTTGAGCAAAACACAACATTGTGTATGTATGTTTATAAATGAATAAATAATGAAGGAGCTGCTTCTAGAAAACACATGACAAATCCAAGGGAAGTTGGCAGGTAGTGTTTGCCTTACCTGGACGTGAGTATACATATGTCTAACGTTAAACAAAGAACGCTAATTTGCTTCAGGGCAGGATGTAGATCAGACCCTTTTTTCACTTTTCCATTTCTGGTGGGTTCTTTAAAATATTCCTGGCTCTTGTCAAGCAGAGAAAATAATCTGCTACTGCTAAAGGTAGGGCAAAAGACATCCCGTTTTACACTATCAGTAGTTGAAAGTTCATGGGAATCAAAAGCTGCAAGGACTCTTAATCAAGCCCCAAATCTGGCAAGTGTAAAATGAGGAATGATTTTATCTATAGAAGCGGATTTTATAGATTTACATGGATTAATATTTCTTCAGCTATGTCATCTCTGAATGGCTTTTAGCTTTGAATTAATTCTAATTACCTAAGTCTTGTATTGGCTCAAAGGTCATATTTGAAGTTAGGACTGGTACTTTGCTTCTTTCTAATCAATATGAAGTTTTGAAAGAAATTCATGAGTCCTTTTCCACACTTAAAAGTGATGAGAAGACATTAGAAAATGTGTACAATATAGAATTGACCTCAGCACTTGTTCCACTGCTGCGGCTTCTTTTTAAAGTTTCTGTTAAAAACCCCTTTTTGCAGGTAGCTATCAATCTTAAAGCTGGGAGATGTCACTGCAGATAAAGCAAATTTGACGTGTATTTTTCCAGCAGCTCCTTGCAATGCCATATTGTATTTGTATTCCTAACTTAACGGATACAGAATTGCATCAGTCATGGGACTTGAAAGTGTGTGAATTTGAAAGTGTAACTTGAGATTAGGAAAGAGATGTTCTGTCAAGAGCTACTACAGTCCAGGCAGCTTTTTCTTTTCCAACAGCTTCCTATAAGGTATTTGGCTGGACTAAGTTTTCATTTCAAACAGCTTCCTATAAGGTATTTGGCTGGACTAAGTTTTCATTTAGTCTGTTCCAAACTACCTGCTTTGTTTCTCAGGCACAAAAATAGGAGAAAAGGAGTTGTGCGTGCTTATGAAGTTGCGTATTGAGTCTAATGTTTTATTTGAAAGATAAATTTAGAATTAAAAGAGAGGATGGAAATAGAGGACATTTCCTGGAGAATCAGTACACAAGGTAAAGAATACTCATCCAACCCTGTGTACAGTTCATCTGTATGGCAGTTTCTTTACAGGGACATAGAATTATTTCACTAGATTCACACCTTGTTCCAAAAAGGTGAATAGCTTTTGTGTGTGTGTGCGCGCGCTGCTTAGCATGTGTGATGATTTTGCAGCTGGAACATCTTCTTTGTATTTTTAAATAGATTAGTATGTTTCAGAAGAAAAAGCATTTATTTTTAAAGAGCTATGGGAAAGATTGCAGCATTTTACTTTGCGAATGCCTGTTTCTGTTTATGAAAGTGGATAAAACTCATTTTTGCATTTAAAGAGGGCTACCACTAGGGGGAACAAGTAGCGCAAGGCTAATCATTTTCTCAAATTCTCTTCATTCAACTATTTTAGGTGATAGAGCTTCTTTTTTTATGAGATACTGAAATGCAGAAAGTGTATGAAAGAATGGAGTGGGCCTTTTTATTTGCAGTTTCTTCTGACTTACTTGAGCAATTTCAAATTTGGCTGGATCCACTGATACAAATTTGTTCATCCAGCGTGAGCTTTCACTGAAGTCACTATGGTGCTATGTAGGCAGAAGGGTCCTTAGTAATAAATAGGTTTTAATAAAGAATAGATACTTTAATCTCTGTGTTGGATGAGATTGTCACAAACTAAATAGTCAGCTCAGCCTAACTTTTATCTAGCATCCATGGATGAACTTTATAAAGCAAATGACAATTTTTATATATATGTATGTATTTATATTTATGTATGAATATATACATACTCACTATATATGCAATATGAACCCAATCAGAACCTATCTCTGCAGTCCCACTAACCTGCCTCTGCTGCCTTTTTCAGGGAAAATGCCAAAAATTGAATGAAGCGCAGAATTAGAACTGGTAGCGATGGCCCTTGCGTGGCTGGGCTGCAATATGTCGGTGGGCAGGAGGGGACATACACTTGTGCTGCCTTAACCCATGGCGTAACTGCCTGGTGGATGCAGAGCCAATGGGAGCTTCCTTGCTCTCTGCCCACTGCTGTTCCTAATGATGTCTTTTAAAAGACCAAGTTTAGAGAGTTTAGTTTGTATTGTAAATGTACAAAATAAAAATTGGATAAATGGAATGTTTTAAACTCTTTGAGGCTATTTGATATGTTGTGTACAAAACAGATGCCTACATATGTGCAACGTACCTGCCTGCATGTGATTGCCCTTGCTGATACAGCCACACAAGGGGGAAAGATGCTTTCTCTGTCCATTGTTTCCAAGGTCTTGGTATGCGATAGGCACATGACATGAACAGTGAGATAAGTTTATGGCAAATTGCAGTGTATTAACCTAGTCCCATGTTGTTCCCTCCATGAATGGACACCCTTGACTTCAGTATTGCCCTATGTTTGGGCAGAAGCAAACATGCCCAAGGCTCAGGGTAAGATCAGATTTAAGAGAGAAAATATTACAAGTTATCAGGCAATTGTAAGTTTGCATCCTTCTTTTCTTCATGGCGAGCAGCTACTCAGGGGTCTGTCTTTGACAAACGAGTTTGTGGGCTACAACACAACAGAAACCAGAAGTTCTTGTTTGCTATTAACAGAGCCGTAATCAGTACATACTGTATTTTATTGATGTGGATACTAGATCTAGGTCATTGTCTTGTTTTGTACAATTTAGAATCATTCCTGTTAGTATATCCCCAAACTTATTTATTTACATGTTTTTCTTCCCTAGCAGCCTGTCACCAATTAACTGGCCGTACAGTCTGGCCTCCCTTCTGCCCTCTTGTCCCTTGAAGCCACTTTATCGTGGATGCTCCTTTGTAGTGAAGATCTGAAATCTGGAACTGCACTTACTGCAGCACAGACCACCTCTCTGTGTACATCAGATGTACAGGATTGATTTTGCTTTCATATTCTGCATGCTTAAGTATTTCACATACAAAAGCTAGTCGTGACTGCCATTATATTTGAACATTATGCTTCAGTTTGACCTCATTATACATGAGCCATTATACCTCCATTCTAGATGATGTGTGAAGCTTTGCTTGTTTGAAATGAGAAACTTTCGGAGTAAATGAATACTTACCCATATCTGGTATTCTTTAAAGAAAGTGGGAACCCCATGCATGCAGCTAATGGTGGAGTCCATGGAGAAAGTTCCATGGAGGATTGTTTTAAAAATGTTGCCATATTGTGGCTTTCTCACATTCATAAATGCTGGCTAAATATTTTCATGGTCTGCAGTTGGCCTACCCTCTGCTTTTATGCTTGTGATTTAAGACACTCCCTTTTCTCCCTTATTGGCTTTTAGGAACGTAGCTTTGCTGCCAGTTCTCTGTTGTGAGCAGGTAACTCAGCAAAGTCTGCTTTCCTGGACCATTCTTGGAATGGTGGCTTCTTGTACTGATATTTAGATGCTGCTAAACTTACTAATAACAATTTCATGTATATTATGTCTTATATGCCATAATGTGGTAATTGATGTTTTGGTTAACATGCAAAGCCTCATAATAAGCATATGTTAAAAAAAAAAAAAAAGTTGGATTTCACCAGCTGAAATGAAGAGAACAGTAACAATAATGTTTGATAATATGTATTGGGATGTGACTTAATGTTCTTCCAGACTTTAATACGTTCCACATACAAAAAGCAGTGCCTTAGGTTTAGCGGAGGGGTAAGCTGTATTTTTACCATATTTTATTTTTTTAAGTCCTAACATTTCTAATGTTACTCAGATCTGTTTGTTTTAAGGTGATGAAATCAGTTGGACAAGGGGAAGAGAAGATTAGAAGTTAGAAATTAGAAAAGGCTTTCTGATTTGCTGGTGGCCGTTGGGCAAACCATCCCCTTGCAGGCTGAACATGTACAGATGGCACAGGGAGGGAGACCGAGCCTTGAAATGCTCTTCCATTAAATCTGGATTTAGATGACTTTAAATTACAAGAGCACTTGTGTTAGCACATTCTGTAGAGGTGAATTAGAAATTGTTTCTGTTTAATTTGCAGGATTATTTGTCCCCTCTCTTTCTTTACGTCACACTTTGGGAGCACATTGCTCAGCTGACCTATTTAAAACATTTGAATTTCCCAGTACTTTTGCACCTTATCTGCTAAGGGCCTAGTCTTCTGCAGCGCAGAGACGGCAGTGCAAAGTCTCTTCATCACTAAAGCGCTGTGAGGATTAAGTTAGTGTGCAGAAGGACATAGGCCTCGTGTCATCTGTCTACAGCAGAGTAAATTGTCCCAGGTGTCTGACACTAACCAGTTCACCTTCCCACCAGACCTGTGTCCCTGTCCTGTCGAAACACTGTTCCCTCCCGTTGGAAATACTCTGTGTTTGTTGTACGGGTGATACTTAATTTTAATGGAATTGCTAAAATGCATGAATAACAGAAGGACATCTCTTAAGACCTTTAACTGTTGTGTATTCTCATCTTTTCTTCTCCCCACACCATCTCACCTGTGTTCACCTTCCTTTGTTTGTGTTATGTCTATTTTAGATTGTAAGCTCCTCAAGGCAGGGAACTGATGCTTCTCAACTGTCTGTAAAGCACCTTTCACAACTGCGGTGCTCTTTGAAATATCAAATAATAATAAATATTAGAATCGATTCCCAATGAGTTAAAAGTTTTATTTGTTTTTAATGTTTTAGCAACAGCAGGGGCGGCAGGCCCACATGCTACCGTGTAAGGAAGGTGCTCAGAGGACTGGGGGTGACAATGTAAGAACCTGTGTGTTGGCGGGCGAGCAGGGTTGCTGTCTGGCTGTCCTTCAGCGTTTGACTGCTCTTGCGGACTGCTGTTGCCGATGTAACCTGTACAACCATCCTTCATTGCTTTCTCTCTCTGTTGTCTTTGATAGCAGCGTTCCCCTTATCAATTCCCTCATCATCACTCCCGTCTGATCTCCTCTCCGAGCAACTTTGAGCACATCTACCACATGACTGTTAATTCAGCTGAAAAATTCCTCTCTTACGATTCCATAAACCCTGCATTTTCCCCGCCTCCACGCTCTGTCCTCGGTACTCCAGACTTTATGACTCTGAGGGTATGAACAGTTGAGTCAGGTGTTCACTCTACTAACGCTGTGTGGTTTTCCTTTTGCCTGGCTATTAACATGGGAGAAAAACCCTTGTAAGCAGTTTCCTTCACCCCTTAACTTTCATCTGTCCCAGCTGATTTATTTTCTGCTGGCAGCTGTGGTCTTTCCACATCTCTGACATGCCAAGAAACAGATACTTCATGGCTTTTAAAAAAAAAAAAAAGTGTATAACAACTGGGCTGATCATTTTGCTATGAGAATAGCATTTTTAATCACCAGGAAGTATGTGGGAATTTTGAATGATAAGTTCTCTGTTCCACAGTGTTCATCCTCCAGCAGTCAGTGGCAGGATGCTGTGTATCAGGTTGCATTAGGAAAAGGTTCTGGATCTGTCTGTGTTGGACCAAATTTTCAAACTCTTTGTTTATGATGAAATCATGTGGAGGTTTCATCATGGAAGTTTTACACAGTACTGTACATGGATTGAGAGAGACAGACACAGGTTGTGCCTCAGACAGTTTCTAGGTTAAAGTAAATAAGTGAAGTTAGTACACGTATGAGCAAGATCAAAAATTAAAGATAATGGCAACGTGCTGATGTAGATCCTCTTAATCCCGGTAGTTTTAAGCAGAGGCTGAGGTAAGATACTGTTCTGTAGATATCCTTCCAGTTGGAACGTAAACTGGGGGGGTGGAAGTGGCCTCTTCTTTTTTCTTGTATTGTGCATCCTGGTCTGACTACATGGGGGTTGCTAGGTCCTATAGAAATACAAGCCATACTGAAACAGGCACACAAGTACATCCTGTGCATTGTAATTGTGTGCTGTGCTGTGGCCTGCAGTTCTGCTTGGGACAGATTCGCAGGTAAATCAGGAATAATCTGTGAGGTAGATGTTTGTGATGGTGGTTGGTTGCTCAGGGTTTGTATGGGTCTGAGCCATGCCAATTGCTGTAATGCAAACACTGCTGTTGGTTTCTGCAGCCTTTGGACACTCTTCAGACACGCATGGCAAACCTTTGCCGCCAGACCGCTTTGAGTGCCTTTTGGTTGCTGTTCTAGATCCCTGTCACCAGGAAGGTTTTTGAATACATACCTGCATACAACACTGGAGAGAATTTAAAAATGTGGGAGGAAAACTAATCTCTTCCATATGGCTCCAAAACCAATTTGCACAGCTAAGCTTTGACTGGTCATGTGCATGGTCATGTGTCACTGTTGTGAAGTCCCAATTGTCACAGCCATTAATATTAAAAAATGAAGTTGCAGCATTTTGGAGAACGTGCCCTGTGATGACATGTCTGCATCCATCCTGGCTTTTCTGGTAGGAAGAGAGATGCAAATACACAAGAGGAATGCTCTATTGAAATGCAAAAGAAAAATATTGTTAAGCCAAACTGAAATTTGTTTGTCTCTTAGAGGGTCATTATAGGTCACTGAAGGTGTATTTCAGTTCTAGTTTTAACAGGGTTTTTTTTAATCCAACTGTACTATAAAATTTTCTATGTTTAATATGCAGTGATGTATCACCGGACTGTGACCCACCCTCTACCTTCCCTTTCTCATGTGAGTAGTCTCCCTGGGATCAGTAAGGAATGACCCCTGGTGTTTCATACAATAACTCTTAATTTTTGCTTTAGGAGCATCCTTCATCCTAATGTTGCAGCCCGCTAGCCTAAATTGGAGAAAAAAAGTGAATTGGGCAACCTGGAGTGTCAAGTTCTTGTACCTGTTAGCTCCTTAGAGCACTAGAGGTTTAATCTTGTATGAAGAAAAGCATTTGTCTCCTTAGTGGCTTGAGGGTAGAGATGCTGTAAGCTGTATGGAAAGCAAGGCTGTGCGTTTTGGTTTCATGTCTGTCCATCTCCCCTTTGTCTTTGGAGATTTTAGTGGAAGAAGGGTAGCACTCCCTCCGAGGGGACCATGGTCCCAGGTACAGATGGGATATTGGAACCAAACCAGCATGGAATCCATAGAGGAGTTGAAAAATGACACATTCAAGTAGGCTTTTAGATTCTGTCATATTATTTCATGGAAGAATTAAAAGCTCAGGTTTATAACATAATGAATAGAACACTACTTAAAAACAAAAAACCCAAAACAACAAGAAGCAGCTTGATGGACAGAGAAACATAGGCAAACAATTTCCTATGGGTGTTGTAACTGTTTAGTTAGACCTTATATGTATGTTCTCGCCCCACTGCCCGAGAAGGCAGCGTGGGAGCAGTTAGTGTGGGTGTGGGAGCTGAGGCTCGGTAGCACTGCAGAGCCGCGAGCGTAGCAGCGATTGCATGTACATAACCCACAGCTCCACAGCAGCTTCATTCTCTGGCTGGGAGTGGGATGCACTGAACTAATTTGGGTCTTTCACCCTATTTCACAGTTATTAACTTTGCTCAGCAAGCAGCTTCTCTGCTGCTGATTTTTTTTTTCTCTTCTCTCACCTTTCTCCATTTAAAAAGCAGTGGGAATGAATTTTCCTGCTAGGATTTGAATTGTTGCTCTAAATGAGGGGTTTTTGTCTCTTTAAGTAAAGCAAGCTCAGGTTTCTTTCTTTTTTTTTTTCTTTGTTTTTAACTTGCTGCATTTTGCTGCTTTGTAACTACCGCTAATAACCACCGTTTATTTTTCTTTGAATCCCCTTTCTGCATCATGTGCATATGACTTCCAGGGGTTTTGGTCCAAAATGCCAGGGTCTCTGGCATGTGCTTATTTTATTTTTAGAACAAAGAACAATGAAAGACTTGCTTTGTGGAGAAACTTTCTACGAGGAATTACATGGACTTTGCAAACTGAGGTCATGAAAAATAATCATCATTAGAATACACTATTAAAATAAATGAGCCTTTTTCATGCACCCACCCATTCCCTCCTTCCCCTGATGCCTGTATGTTGTCTGCTCAGTCACTGTTACGGAGGTTAATCGCCTTATCATCAAACATAATTGTACTCTTTGCAAAATGAACCACTGTAGGTTTATACAAGTACAAGAGACCTTCCTTGCAACTCCAGTGTACTAACCTCAGTGCACACGTTTGCATGGTGGTGCACTTGGCTTTCCTTGTTTCTCAAAACACAGCAGTAACTTATTCCTTAGCCCATTAGTTCCTTTGCGTATTGTCAGGGGAGCCTCCATTGTTTATGTACAACCAGGATGCTCATACTCTTATCTGTAACTCGGATTGTTTATTGCGTGGTGAAGGACACAGGAGTAGAAATGCAGTATTTTGTACTACAAAGTAGGTTGGTTGTTTACATTAAAAAAAAAAAAAGGGGGGGGAAGGTAAGCAAGAGCCAGCAGTATGATCCCACAAATGATTTAAGAGACTTTTTTAAGCCTTCAGGTATAAATCCTCATTGAGAATAGTGCAGCAGTGGATGAGAGGAGAATTAAACAGGGCTGTTTCATTCATAAGGTCTCCGATTCTCTTTTGCTGGTGTCTGAGAGAGATCTGGGAACAGGAGAGATTTTAATTCTTTCTTGTTTGTTACATGTTAAAAATCAGCCCACTGGGAGAATGAGAAGCAAAGGGTTGACTGTAAGAGCCAAGGGGTCTGTTACAGCAATGACTCTAAGGTTCATTGTAAGACTGGATTGACAGCAGGTTGGTAACAATTATCTGATAAAATCTGAACTGTATAAAATCTGTTCATTACAAAGCCTCTATTTAATTATCCATTTTAAAATACAGATGGAGAAATGGGTAGTATCTGAGGGTCTCTGAGAATACCCTTGTGGGGGGTGGAATCTTTGTTCTGGTCTGAAATTTCCATAACATCCTAGCTTAAAAAGGCATTGCAATTGCAACTGTTGTTTTATGTGTGGCTACTTTATCTCAGAGTGAGGACAGGTAAATATTAAATATAAATAGGAAGAAATTAACAGTTATTGCAGGGGGTGTTTTGTAGAGTGGAAATAAATTAATGCTCAGTTACCTGCAGTTCTTCTCACATTCTGCATCTGTAAAGTTTCCCTAAACCTAATTCTAGTTAATGTTAATGGCTTAATAGTGCAAATCTTGTTAGGAGCAGGATGAAGTCTCATCTTTAGCCTGGGCGTTAGAAAGTCCCTCTGGGCTAAGAAGCCAGCTCATACACAGAGAGATGGGCTAAATAAGCTGAGAAACCTTTTCCCCTAAGGTCAGCTGTAAGTTAACAGAAGCAGAAATAAAATCTCCCAGAACTCACTTAAAGTACTCTTTTCCCTTCTTTTAAAGACAACTTATGTTTAAGGAAATACCATATCCAAGTAGAGAAATTGTGTTTTATCTCTTCCCTCAGTAAAGGACCACTTCAGTCCAGTAACTTACCAATTTAGAAAATCACACTGGAACTCTGAGGATGCAAAACAGGAGTGATAATCAAAATACATAGAAAAACAGTGGCATGTGCTCTGGTCATCCTCTTTGAGCAGGCTGAAAACAGGAGGCTGATTCTCACTTTGGTTCAACTGGTGTAGGTCTGGAGTAATGCTGTTAATACCTTTGGAATTACATAAGTATCTGAAATACAGATTGATCCACTATGTTTTCG